TCGGTGTCGCCCCGGGCCCGTGGGCTGCACCGGTCTCGCCGGCGGACACCGGGACCCCCCGGCCCATCCCTGCCCGGGGACCCGAGGGGACCCGGGTTCCGCCGTCTGGCTTTCTCCCCCCCCCGATCCACTCCCCCGGGGGCTGGTCCCTTTCGAGGCCCGAGATCCCGCCACTGTCAACACCCAAACCCACCCCCAGCCGGGCCTCGGCGGTCTTCGCGGGGATCGGGGGGCGGGGAGGCCCCGGAGCTGCGGTCCTCGGTGTCTGTCGTCGGCTGGCGGAAGCCGGCGAGACTTTCCCGGCCGGCCGTTCTCTAACCTGGCGGGGAAGGGACTTGTGGTCGATGTGCGGACACGATCTCGCAAAGAGGACTGTCAGCGCTCAGACACCGCTGCCGAGCGCAAAGTGTCGCTGCTGGGGGGCGGGGGGGCGGACGGACGAGCCTTTACTAGAATTTTTTTTTTCTTCTCCACTAGTAAATAGTCTAGCCACCATCGGAAACTAGTAAGACTAGTTACTGAGTTTGGGGTCGATATATTTCACAACCAACTTTTGTTTGAAACCATTTGCTCACAGTAGTCCTCTACAGGCAAAAATCCATAGGAGAAATTTTGTTAATATTGCTCCTCTCTGCTACCCTCCCCAGGACTCCCAGGAAGTATTTGATTTGGTATAGTGTAAATACCATGGATTTAGAAGAAGTTACACGTATTTTGACTCTTACTTTGCCAATTGTTCAAAATCAGTATTAAAGTTACCAAGCCTTTCTAAATCTCAGGGTTTCCACTTCTTTAATGGCGATGACACCCACCATCATCTTTCTAGGAGTTAAATGGTGAACATCAGGGTTTTCAACAGCAGCATTATTGACATTTTGGGACAGGTGATTTTTGGCTGTAGAGGCTACCTTGTATGGTGTAAGATAAATGGCTTTTATCAGGCTCAACCCACGACTTGGTGTAGCATCTCCTTTCCAGTTGTGACAACTAAATAGGATTTTGGACATTGCAAAGTCAGTATCCTCGGAAGAGCAAAGGACCCCCCAGTTGAGAGCTACTGGAATATAGACTGGGTATATGTATGTATGTTTGTGTCTATACACATATGTATCAAACTCACGGAACATGTAACTATTGTTTGTTATAATTGATCTTCATTCTTTTTCTGACGACTAGTTACAAATCAGTGGTTCCTACCAGCTGTTAGAGGAGACATCCCTCCAGGCTGTGCAGCCCATGGATTTGTCTGTGATGGCACTAGAATCCTAGTGTTTGGGGGAATGGTTGAATATGGAAGATACAGCAATGAGTTATATGAGTTACAAGTAAGTGTATTTCACATTTATTATTTCAGCCTGAAGTGCTAATTAAATTGTTGTGATTTTTTTTTTAAAAAAAGAGGTTACAAAACATTGTATTAGCACAGGTACAGTAACAGATGCTCCACAGTTTATAGCTTCAGAGAAAATGTTTCCGCTTCACTGACAAGTCAAGGTATCTGATGTCTTTTCTCATGTCTGGTATGACCTTTATCGCATAAGCATACCTGACCTTTAGCAATACTGAAACTGTCTCAGGTTTAGGTCTCTGTGGGTTAGTGCAGTTGTCCGTTAGGCACCCCGGACTACTGAAAACAGATTGCTGGTCCCGCCCCTGGGTTTTTGGAGTCTTGTCTGTGCTGGGACCTGGACATTTGCGTTTCTACCACCCAGAGCATGCTTTGAAAACCGGTGCCTCCGTGTGAGAAGAGTGGTTTCCTTTAACAGTAATAGTAACCCCCACACAGTCATGCAGAGAGAGGTTACAGTTTCATATAGCCTTTCTAAATTTGATTTGCTTATTAAACTGGAGCTCATTCTTGTTAATTGTTCTTGATATGTTCCAAGGGCCGTGATCATCATGGTATCTGCCATTGGCAGATGTGAATGGGTTGTACATATTTCCAAGCAAGCAATCATTTCAAATAGAGAAGATTCTCATGGCTAAAGAATAAATTTTGGAATTTGATTTGTTAAATGAGTTTTATTTATTTAAAGGTTAAATATTTAGCATTCATGGATTATCTAATATATAAAAGATAGCTTTCATGAATTATATCTAATCTTTTTTTTTTTTTTTTTT